AACAAACACCTCAGGTGAGTTTCTGTATCATTGCCACAAACAAAACCCCCATCAGTCCCAACAAACACCAGCCAGGCTTCTCAGGCACTGCTGAGATGGACATTAAGCTCTCCACAGAGATGGTTCTGTAATAAATAAGCTGCCACCAGTTTTCCTCACTCAGTTCCAGAAATCCCATTAAATGAAGCAAATAATTTGTTCAGAAAGAGGTGCAGAATTCCACAAGAAATAGCTGCAATTTAGCAGTAAGAAAACAAAAATACCATGACCAATGCAGGATCTCTAAGTGCAGCAACAACTCCCACTGTGCTTACAAACACAAGAAGGCAAAGAGGCACAACAAAATGCAAGGCAAAATTCCGTAGATGGAGAAGATGATATTTATATTTAAAATCTCTAAGTAAGTTGCTGTCCTTCTGTCCTGGTAACCCAAAAAAAGGTGTATTGTATTCCATATCTTCCCTACACCAACCTGCCCAAGATGACTGCTGTCCCTTTGGAAGCCAGGAGCTGGAAGAAGAGAGGCAGGTGACCTGGGGTCCCTCTAAAAGAGAAGGAACAGGCACACAGAGCTCCTCTGTCCTCCCCAGGGCTTGGGAGCAGAGGCTGCAGCTTTTTTTGGCCAGGCTGCCAAGAAAGCTGTCTGGGGCAGGTTCTCTGAGTCAGGCAGTGCAAGGAAGGTTTGTTTATCTCCAGGCTTTGGAGGATTCTGGAACATCCTTCTGGTTGCTCAGTTTCTGGGCCACGGAGGACGTTTCCTTCAGATCTTTTTTTGCTGCTGCCACCCAGGACAGCTCCACCAGCACCATCCCCTCTCTCCAGGAGTCCCAGCCACTGACCCAGTTCCAGCTGCCACTGTCAGGACAGCTCCTCTCAGGTGGAGCAGATGGATCAGTAGCATTTGACTGGTTTTGGAAAGGATTCTTCTGTTTTGTCCTTGTTCCCTGGTGGCTGTTGTTTGGGGGATGAGGGGGTTCTGTGATCATGGACGCTTGGTTACTGTTTTTCTTTGTCAACAAGATTCAGCACATTTGTATCTAGTGGTTATTACTGTTATCTTGGTTGTTGCTGTTTTATTTTTAGTGAACTGCTATTTTTTTCACTTACATCTCCTCACATTCATCTCTCCTTATTGGTGAAAAAGGTTAAAAATACAAGGAGAGATAACTAATTTTGGAGTGTCCTGTCTGTATAATTGTTTTAAACCAAGACACTTTCCCACTCACAAATTAGCTTGAGTTCACTCACACTTGTTTAGAAGTCCTCAGTTTTTATGAGGTGGCCCTTCAGCTCAAAATCTTGGTGACTTCAGCTTTCATAAATATTAGACCAGGTTGCTGCCCATGTTTTTTTTCTTAAGACAGATGCTTTTTCTGGATGGACTAACAGGAAAAGGAATGTTATTTGTGATGCGCTTCACTCTTGTCCTCCTCCCAATGTTAAGATGCAGGATCTTCCACCAGCACATCATCCACAGTGGAGACCTGGTAGTCATGACACAAAACCTCCTTGCATTCCTAAATTTTACAGCTGGAAACTGTGTGCTTTGCTATTAAAACCACCCATTTCCATTCTTTTGGCCCTCTGTTCTACTCTTCCTTCCAATGTTCCAATATTTTCACTCATACTTCACATAATATTTCTGCGACAAATTTCTGCAGAACAAGATGTGCACCTGCAATCCAGACTGAACACAGCTTAACCAACACATGCCCTGGACCCAGACATTTTCAAACACATTGTGCTCAGGAGCTGTCAACTCACCACAAGGGCCATGGCCAATTCTGGCTATTGTTTGTATTTCTCCATCTTCAATTTTGATAATCTTCCCATCAACTGTCCCAGTAAACAGAACATCTGCAAAAACAACTTGTGTGATTAAGCTGATCACAAAACAATACTGGTAAGCATCCTTCTACTAGCATGAAGTAGGGAATAAGGAGAACTCAGCTCATTTATTCATAGAAAACTTATTCCCAGTCAGGTTGATTATTTCACTCATAGGTCAGTTGCCCATTGCAGGAAGGTTTCCATAAAGAGTTTCCAACAAGACTGATAAAACCAGGCACCATAAAAAAATCAATAGCTTCAGGTAATCCCTTTAGCACACTGTTAGCAGATACAGGTAAAGAGCAATCTGAGGAAAGAATTTACAGTAGCTTCTTACTGGGTAATGTAATTTCTTACAAATATTTCACTAATAAATTAGAAGATAAACTAGAAGGAAAATAAATTATATGGCACCTACTGAGCACCTCTTGCACCGAAGGATCTTTCAGTAAGGGTTAAGAGTATTTCCAAGTATTACCCCTCCTTCAGGAGTCAAAAGAAACAACTCCTGCACAATGCTGGGCTCCCACTAAGAGGATGTCATGGCATTAGAAGGACAGGGAACTCATTAAGAAATTGCTCAGAGGTGGCATGGGTTTGTGACTTGAGAAGAACCCACCTGCCACAAGAGAAAAGTGGCACCTATGTTGGTTAGATTTCTTGCAAGAAGAATCTAAGCTTTTAGAGTTATTATTATAGAATATAAGGGAGTTATGAATATGGGATATGATATTGTGCAATAGAATTAAAATGTAAATAAGCTATTTATCAATTTGAGACTTGTTTCCTGTCATAAAAGCAAAGACCAACACCACAAAATTCAGCTCACTCAGCAGCAACGAGCTTTAAAAGAACAGGTAATAGTTTCTAAATATTAATTCCCAGTTAGTTTTTCATTTCCCAAATGAAAAATGGGACCACTTCCTCCAAATGTTAGTAGCCCCTGACTACACTGTTGATGGTCTCAGTCCTGGAAGACAGGGATTTTTAATGTGACAACAAGATTTACTTCAAACTCATGAGAGAGGAGAAAAACTAAACATATACATAGGAGAGGTTACATACAGAGAAAAGCAGAGAGCCAAGCCCAACAAATCCTAGAGAAAGAGGAGAAAAACTAAACACAGCATAGACAACCTAGGTTTTTCTGCATAACACAATAACTTTTAGAAAACCTGCACATTGAAATTAACTTCCAGAGTTTGTTATCTAAGAGGGCTACTGCTGAACAAATGGAACAACATTTAAAGAGCCTTCTTTAGAAGCTGTTTTTGTCAGTGCTTACCCCCAATATTGACAATGGACTCTGGTCCCACCAGCTGGTTCTCCCACAGCCGTTCAGCTTTCCGTAGCTTGGTGTTGGGCTCTAAAACACCTGTCAGGAGGGGAGGCTCCTTCAAGCTGCAAAACAGGAGGAGCATGTGATCCTTTGCACAAAATGCAAACATTCTTGAGCAACATATTTGATCATTTTTTCCCCCAGTTTGCCAACTCCTGCACACCTGACTTATCTTTACAAAAAGCGTAGTTCAAAAAGTGTTGCAGTGGCTTGAGCACTTGGCCCTCAGTGAAAACGCAGTTCTTGTCTCACAGAAGGCAAGAGTGCACCTGTGTAATCACAAGCTGCACTGACAGCTTGGGTAGCAGACAAAAATTTTCTAGGTTAATGATTAAAGAAAGTAATTCAGCTCCTTCCATGATCAGCAGGGACACATAACAGCACATTTCTGGCTCAGAAACAGACTGGGTGTGGATAATATTGCAATCATTCCCCAGTTTCTCAATCCAGACAGAACCACTTGGCACTGTTAACTCTTGTTTGCTGAAACAACAGCAGAGCATACAGGAGAAGATAGGCTTGCAGAACATTTGCTTCAAAACAAAACAACCTTTTACCTTATGGGCTGAGGGTCTATAGGACAATCCAGGAGAACAGTCACTCCAAGCAGTGGCACAGCCACAGACACAGCCAAAGTCAGGAAGGTGACACGGAACACCTTGCTGCTGTAAGTACTGCCAAACCAAACAAGAAATAGCATTAACATAGTTTTCAGATACAACAGTCCTTAAAATATATGTAGCAAACTTTTTTCTTCAGAAAAGGAAACAGTAACACCTTTGCACAACCACCATCCTCACCTTCAAGGTCCATTTTGAACATATTAGGATAAGAGAAAGGTCTCAGGACACTGGCATAAAAGGCTGAACATTTTTATGTGAAAATTTCATTCATGCTACAAGTTACAGCTGACTAAAATAAAAACAAACAAAAAAAATAAGCCAAACCAAAACAAACCACCTGAGAAACAGGATATTTTGGTTGTGGTTTGCTTGGTGTTTTTTTTTAACTTGATCTTTAGTTTTGGTAATGGTTTTGAATAAAAACTTCCACGAAAACAACAAACACAGAAGAAGCTAAATGAATGGCTGCTTAACTTAGTGAACACTGGTTTGGAACTCAAACCCCAGAACACAAAATCAATTAATTATTTTTTTCTTTATCCATTAAAACACACAATAAAATAAGTAAAAATTTCTTCCACGGGAGAAAACTGCATTTTGCTCTCTACGAGTTTTAGAGGAATCAATCAGGCATTTACAGAGAAAAGCAGAGAGCCAAGCCCAACAAACTCCAGCCTTGAACTGGGAAAGCAGCACATCTAATTTTAGCTGTTCTGAACCATTCATTGGCCCAGACAGGCTCCTGACAGGATCAGTCCAATAAAGACAAACAGTGCCTGGTGGTGCTGCACTAACCCCTGCACCACTTCTACTGTTTTGTCCTTCATTAGTCAATCCAGACAGCAGGGAATATGAACGACTGCCCAGAGCACAAATATCCCAACTGGGCAGCTACACACATGCACTTGTACTGATATCAGCATCAAGGTAACCTTTGGGATTATCAGTGAGAACAGCAAGGACAGAACAAGGCAACGGGATTTAGGCAGGATTTAAGCCCTTCCAGCTTTAACAGGAGATGTCTTGAGGAAGCAAAAACCTCCCAGTCTGGGTCCCCTGGAATCTGGAATCGAGAGCAGGGTGTATGGATAAAAGCCAAACCCCAAATTTACAAAAAGATTTCAGCCTTTTGGCCTGGTCTGTCCACTGTCCTCCAAGAGATGGAAATTCAACAATGTAAGATTAAAATACTGTCAGCAGACACCTGAGCATCTCTGTGATAGCTGAGAACAGCTCACACAAAAGGAGCTGAGAATGAACAGGAACAGAATGGGAACTCATCTGCCAGAGCCAACCTAATTAAAGCTCCTAAAAGTTTAAGTAAGGACCATCTCTGATCCTCAAGCAAACTTGCAAGGAACTGACAATAAAGGGAAAAAGGCAGGAAGAATAAGGTGACAAGCAAACTCACACTTCAAGCCTGCAAACTGCAAGACCTAGTTTAGATACTGCTGAAACCACAAGAATTTAAATAAAGCACAAAAGCTTTACAAAAAAATAAACTAAAAATTCATCTACTCAGAATCCTTCTTAATCTGCACAATATTGAATAGGGACAAGTGTCAGTCACTGGAGAGAATCACTGAGGTGAAGGTCCACTAACAGCGAAAGAGAAAACCTTAGTCAATTGTGTCCCTGTGATTAATTAACATGGCCTGCAGCCACAAATCTCAATAAAGCAACTTACCAGGACTCCAGCTGTAATTACAGCAATTCAGCTGTTACTACAACTAAAAAGCCAAGACATTAAACCAGCTTTTGAAGACCAGAGCTGTCCTCAAGAGATTCTGTCACGGCCAGAAAAAGGCCAGGTCCAGAAATTTTCTCCATACAGAGCAGCCCCAGTGAATACTCTGGGTCAGTGACAGAGCCCTAGAAATTCAACTGATTTGTGCACCAAGAGAGGCTGAAGGCACGAGGAGCAGCCTCTCGAGCTCAGAGATGCTGATGCTCTCCTCCAAAAACAGGGGCGGACTGCAAGCCACCAGCCTTTCATTCTCATGCCCCGAAGGGCAGAGATAAGAATCTGCAAAGTACTCAAATCAGAAGAGCTGTAATAGATGGTGAACAAAAGCATTACAAGTCATCAGCTACCTTATGCAATGAAAGGCAAAGCAAACACTACCACTCCCTCATTACAGCTACTGCCTTTAATCATAATGAAGTGATTTTGTAAAATTCCTAAACAGAAAATTGTAAACAGAATCCTTTTTTAACTTAGCCACAAACTGACTGTTTATTAGGCCAGACACGTGCAGATCAGTCGAAAACCCGCAGATTACGCTTTAAACTATTACCAAGACATAAACAGCCTAAACCACAATTACACAGGACTCAATCACACCCAAAATAAACCTGCACAAGCCACGCTGGGATAACTCTTATTGCTTGCCTGGCAAAAGATACACAGGAGAGGGGAAGGGAAGGGAAGGGAAGGGAATGGAAGGGAAGGGAAGGGAAGGCAAAACCCATTTTTTTGTTGCTGAAAGCCGTTCCTGCAGGTCGGCAGCACAGGTGAGGCTCCGTCCCAGCCCCTCCTCACCGTAAGCCCCTCCAGG